TGCAGGAAAAGAGCCCCTGAGAAAAAGTGGGAAAGGCAAAGAGGAAGAAGAAACATGGGTAAAAACCCAGAGAGGGGCTCATTGGGAAAAAGGGGGAAATGTTGTAACGTTGGGAAAAGACTCTTCCAGGGCCCAGTGTCCATCATTGCTCTTAAGAGATACTTCACCAGAAAGGACAGTGATGAAATCCCCAACAGGAGCAGTGGCTATCATTTCACAGGTCCCACTGAAAACTGAGAAGTAAGCTCAAAATTCATAAGCGAAGCAGGAAATAATCAAATAGCAGCTGCCTAAACCCAAACTAAACACCAAACCCACTGCTGTGGAGGCCATTCCAACTCATAGTGTCCCTGTAGGACACAGAAGAACTGTTTCATAGGGTTTCCCAGGCCCTAAGTCTTTCTACAAGATGGCGGATTGGGCAGACGTGCAGTGAGGAGCTCTGTCAGCAACAACATAGAATACAGGACCAAGCAGACTCAGGGGACGGTGCTAGAACTCTGAACCACATAAAAAGGAATATTTACAAGCTTGGAAGGTTTACAGCTAGGGGAATTTTTAGCAGAATCAAGAAATCCAGTGCTTTCTAATTCAAGTTGCTCAGCTGCTCCCGAAGCTGCCATATTGGGAGAGACCAAGCGAGGGAAGGATCAGAACAGCTATGAATGCCTGACAGAACCACAGAGAAACAGGTGTGGATGTCCTTTTTTTTGGTATCTGTTTCTTGGTCTCTCACTGTCTGTGCACCTCCATTCTGGTGACTAGAGGGGGTGCCTGGGCAAATGGACACCCCACCTCCACCCCTGAAAGATTCTACTACGCATGTGCACAGATCACCTCGAAATTCAAAGTGACAGTTTCCACTTAAAACCAAACGGCCACCACTCATCTGTCAGTTTGTCGTACTGTGGTGGCTTCTGAGTTGCTGTGATTCTAAAAGATATACCACCGGTATTTTAAAAACCAACAGGGTCACCCATGGTGGATAGGTTTCAGATGAGCTTCCAGACGAAGACAGACTAGGAAAAAGAATTGACGAACTACTTCCGAATATTTAGTCACTGAAAACCTTATGAATAGCAGAGAAACAGTGTCAGATAAGATATAGTACCAGAAAATGAGCCCCTCAAGTTGGAAGGCACTCAAAATGCAACTGGGGAAGAGCTGCCTCCTCAAAGTACAGCTGACCGTGATGACACAAATGGAGTAAAGCCCATGGGAGAAAAGCCCATGGGACCTTCATTTGCTGATGGGGCACAACTCAAAATGAAGAGAAACAGCTGTAAACATTCATTCAAAATCTGAACATGGAATGCACAAAGTATGAATCTGGGAAAATTGGAAGTTGTCAAAAATGAAATGGAATGCATAAACATCGATATCTTAGGCATTAGTGAACTGAAATGGACTGGTATTGGCCATTTTGAATTTGACAGGTTTACTATGCTGGGATTGACAAATTGAAAAGGAATGGTGTTGTATTCATTGTCAAAAAGAACATATCCAGAGAAGTCATGAGGCACAACTCTGTTTGTGATAGGATAATGTCCATGTGCATACAGGGAAGCCCAGTTAATGCCACTATTATTCAAATTTATGCACCAACCACTAAAGCCAGTAAGGATAAAATAGAAGAATACTACTAACTTCTTCAATCCGAAATCGATTAAACATGCAACCAAGATGTATTGATCGTTACTGGTGATAGGAATGCAAAGGTTGGAAAATATGGCCTTGGTGATAGAAATTATGTGGGAGAACGCATGATAGACTTCTGTAAAACCAATGATTTATTCATTTCAAATACTTTCTTTAGACAGCATAAGAGACGACTATACACATGGACCTCACCAGATAGAATACAGAGAAATCAAATCGACTACATCTGCAGAAATAGACGATGGAAAAGCTCCATATCATCAGTAAAAAGAAGGCCAAGGGCAGACTGTGGAACAGACCATCGATTACTCATATGCAAATTCAAACTGAAGCTGAAGAAAATGAAAACAAGTCTACAAGAGCCAAAATATGACCTTGAATATATCCCACCTGAATTTAGAGACCATCTGAAGAACAGATTTGATACATTAAACACTAAAGACCAGAAGAGTTGTGGGAGGACATCAAGTACATCATACATGAAGAAAGCAAAAAGTCATTGAGAAGACAAGAAAAAAGGAAACGGTCAAAACGGATGTCAGAAGAGACACTGAAACTTGCTTTCCAGCGTAGAGATGCGAAAGCAAATGGAAGAAATGAGGAGGTCCAAGAGCTGAACAGAAAATTTCAAAGATCAGCTCGAAAAGATAAAGCCAAATATTACAACAAAATGTGCAAAGATCTGGAATCAGAAAACCAAAGAGGAAGAATGCTCAGCATTTCTCAAGCTGGGGGAACTGAAGAAAAAAATTTAAGCCTCGACTTTTGTTATTGAAATATTCTCTGGGCAAATTATTGAATGATGCAGAAAGCATCAAGAGAAGATGGAAGGAAAACAGAGTCACTGTACCAAAAGGAAATGGTTCATGTTCAACAACTGCCAAGAGGCAGTTGTTCGAATAGAACATGGGAACACTGAATGGTTTAAAATTAAGAAAGGTTTGTGACAAGATTGTATTCTTTCACCATACTTATTCAACCTTTATGCTGAGCGAATAATCTGAGAAGTTGGGTTCTATGAATAAAAATGTGGCATCAGGATTGGAGGAAGACTCATTAACAACCTGCGATATGCAGATGATACAACCTTGCTTGCTGAAAGTGAAGAGGACTTAAAACATTTACTGATGAAAATCAAAGAGCACAGCCTACATCTCAATGTCAAGAAAACAAAAATCTTCACCACTGGACCCATAAACAACATTCTTATCAATGGAGAAAAGATTGAAGTTGTCAAGGACTTCATTCTTCTTGGATTAATTATCAACACTCATGGAAGCAGAAGTCAAGAAATCAAATGATGTATTGCATTAGGCAAATCTGTTGAACGAGACCTTTTTAAAGTGTTGAAGAGCAAAGATGTTAGCTTGAGGACTAAGGTGCGATTGACCCAAGCCATGGTATTTTCAATAACCTCATATGCATGCAAAAGCTGGACAGTGAATAAAGAAAACTGTAGACGAATTGATGCTTTTGAGTTATGGTGTTGGAGGAGAGTATTGAAAGTGCCATGGGCTGCCAAAAAACCCCAATAGATCCGTTTTGGAAGAAGAGCAGCCAGAGTGCTCCTTGGAGGCCAAGATGGCTAAACTTTGTCTCTCATACTTCGGACATATTGTCAGGAGGGACCAGTCACTGGAGAAGGATATCATGTTTGGTAAGGTGGAGGGTCAGAGAAAAAGAGGAAGACCCCCAACGAGATGGATTGGCCAAGTGGCAGCATCGATGGACTCAAACGTGGCAACAACAGTGAGGTTGGCCCAGGATCGGGTCGGAAAGTGTTTCATTCTGCTGTGCATTAGGTTGCTATGGGTCGGTACCCACTCGATGGCACCTAACAACAAGTTTTTCCAGAGGAATCCTGGTGTGGCGCTTTGGGTTAATGCAAAGCCGTTTGAACTGTAAGGTCGGCGGTTCAAACTCACCAGCTGCTCCTCAGGAACCCTATACAGGGTCACTATGGGTCGGAATCGACTCAACAGCACTTAACAAGTCTTTCCAGAAGCAGACTTGATATCATCTCCCTTGAAGTGGCTGGTGGGTTCACTGTGTCACCAGGCTCATTTCTGCCTAAACCAGTCAGGCCCATAAGAATACCAAAGTATAAAAACATTTCACCAATCCTTCCACCAAACAGGAGGCACCCAGTTTAAAAATACACTAATCAACATTCTTCACTGATCTTTTGACACAGCTCTTGCCTTAGTTGAAAAGGCAAATTGCCTTTTTTTAGTAAGATATCCCAGACTGTAGCCACTTTGATGCTCCTACATCTACACCTTTGACTTTCCTTACTCAAGATTCTGGTCATGTCTAGTGCCCCTTTCCAAGTGTCCAGAGCTCCTCTACAAGATTAACTCCCAAATGCTGCCAAAAGATTTCAGTGTTGACAAATTTAATACAGACTGAGGTAATTGTCCATGTGCAGAGATTGCCACAAGGAAGATATAAACTTTAGGGCCCTTCTGAAGGAGCCTAGCACATTTCACCCCCAAGCACCTCCTTTGACAGACAGGGAAACTTATGCAGAGAGAGCAGTGACTGTACAAGGTCATCAGGAGAGTCACTGGCAAAGCCAGTGCTGGAGTCTAGGCGCTTATCATTAAATGGCACTGGCTCCCTTCTTTTCTGGGAGGCACTGCAGGCACGCCATCCTTGCCAGAACAATCACATTCTGAGAACCCTTATTCCATAGCTCTACAACCTAGCTGAATTGCAGCTCTAATTAGCAAAGCACCTTCTGGGAGCATGCTCAATCTGAGGGCCACTGAAACTGGAACAGGGGAACAAGGATGGAGAGAGACCTGAGGCAGGGGTGTTACAGTGGTAACAACTCACAGGGGTAAGGTAAACTGGGGGGTGTTGTTGTTATGTGCCGTGGAGTCGGTCCGACCCTGTATAGGGTTTCCGTGGCTGTGATTCTTTACGGGAGCAGAAAGCCTCATCTTTCTCCCGCGGAACAGCTGGTAGTTTCGAACCGTGAGATTAGCAACCCGATTCGTAACCACTACGCTACCAGAGCTCCTTGGGGGGGTCTTGGGGATAGTGGCAGCGGGTGCTGACAGTAGTACCTCCCAAAGGGGGAGGCGGTGAGCAGACGAGCAATTGGCAGCAGATCTAGGAGAGCCAGGAAGGGCTGGGCCCTGACCGGTAGGGACGTGGGGAGCATCCCTAGGCAGAACTGGTCTCGAGAAGGCTGCATGGCAGCATGCACTGGCGCCAGAGGCTCGCTGACCAGGACGCCGTGTAAGCTGTGAGGTGCCACCCGCGCCGGCCAGAGGCCGCAGCCCCCGCCAGCTCCCGTCCGCCGCCGCCACTCCCGCCCCAACGCGCGGCCTTACCGAGGCACTGCCCCACTGGGGTACTGAACGGATTCCCCAGAAGAAACTCCATCTTGGGTGGACAGCCGGTAACGGCCGGACCCTGTCAGCTCCGCGGTCTCGGCTGTCCCCTAGTTGCACTCCAGACTTGACTGTCACTTCACCCCAACACCTCCTCAACCTACTCTTAGGAACCCCAAGAGCCCAGCTGTCGATCCCCGCCCCCTTACCGCCTCCCTATTGGGCACCACCAATAGGCCTTCTCCGATTGGCCTTACAGCTTCAGTGAAGCCACACCTCGGCGTCCTATTGGGCCTAAGAGGGAGCCGGTCACTAGAGTTCCCATCAGGCGTAGCGACACCTCCCCTTACCCGCCCATGAACTCTAAACTGTGCATTTTGATTCATCTACCTGTATGTCAATCTAGAAGATTATTAATTTTATTGGACAAGAGGTAGGTCACTCATTCAAATGAGGTGAGGCTAGGAAGATCCCCACCCATAGAAAGTGTTGATTGGAGAAACATTTTTATTTTCCGCTACTGGTTGGTGTGAAGGGTTATTTCCCCGCCTAGAAATTTAATCACGTGACACATCAACGGTCACATTTTCCCTTAGTAACGGAGAGACTGCATTTGGTTACCCTAGCAACTAGGAGGCGTATCTACTGCGTGGAGCCAAAACAATTGACTGGAAAGGTAAGACCGGGAACTATTTCTCCGAAAAACCTCGAAGGAGATAGACTGAGCCCTAGTTCTTATTTTACCTAATCCTTCCGATAACCTTTTCTCTGAATATGCACACAGGTTAGAGAAAAAGAAAGTTTACAAGGCGCTAGGTCGGTTTAAACCACAAAGTCGGAGGTTCAAATTCATCAGCCGCTACTTAGAAACCCTATACAGGGTCGCTATGAGTCGGAACCAACTCAACGGCACTTAACAACAACAACAAACTTTCTTAGCATCAATTACATTTGTTGTTGTTAAGTGTCGTGAAGTCGGTTCCCACTCATAGCCACACTGTATAGTGTCCAAGGAGTGGTAGGTGGCTTTGAATCGCCAACCTTGAGGTTAGCAGTACAGTGCTTATCCTACAGCGGCATGTCCTACCATTAATTCCTGATACAACTTAACCAAGGCAGTATTTCTAAAGTTGTTGTTAAGTGCCTTTGAGTCGGTTTCCCCTCATAGTGACCCCTATGCACAACCAAACGAATTACTGACCAGCCCTGCGCCATCCTCACAATTGTTGCACTGAGTCCATTGCTTGTGTTACTGTGCCAATCCATCTGCTGAAAGGTCTTGGTACTTTTCACTAACATTCCACTTTTCCAATCATGATGTCCTTCTCCAGGGACTGGTCCCTCCAGACAACATGTTTGAAGTATGAGACAGAAATTTGACATTCAGGCTTCTAAGGCGCATTCTGGTTTACTGCTTCCCAGACAGATTTGTTTGTTCTTCTGTAAGTCCATGGTACTTTCAATATTCTTCTCTAACAACATAACTTAAATGCATCAGTTCTTGTACAGTGTACATTATTCATTGACAGACATTCACATGCATATGAGGCTGTTGAAAATACCATAGCTTGGGTAGGCATACTTTAGTTCTCAAACTGATCTCTTTGCTCTTGAGCACTTTAAAGAGGTCTTTTGCAGCAGAATTTGTCAAATTCAATGTTGTGTTGTTGGTAAGTGCCACCGAGTCAGTTCCAACCCATAGCGATCCTGTATAGGGTTTCCGAGGAGCAGTTCAAACCAACTTTGCAGTCCAGTGCATTAATCATCTCACAGGACCATACTAGGACTAATTCAGTACATCCTTTGATTTCTTGACTGCTGCTTGCCTGAGTGTTGATTGTGGATTCAAGCAGAATGAAGTCTTTGACAACTTAAATTTTTCCTTCATTTATCATAATATTTATTGGTTCAATTGTGAGGACTTATGTTTTCTTTACATTGAGGTGCAACTCTTATTGAACGCTGTAGTTTTTAAAATCTTCAACAGTAAGTATTTTAAGTCCTTTTCACTTCTAACAAGCAAGGTTGTATCATCTGCATATTGCATATTTTTAATGAGCCTTCCTGGAAACCTGATGCTGCAGTCTTCTTCAGGTTCTCAGGTTCTTTGTTCAGCATACAGATTGAGTAAATATGGTGAAAGAATACAACCATGGAGCACACCTTTCCTGACTTTAAATCATCCAGTATCCACTTGTTCTGTTCTAACAATTGCTTCTTGGTCTATGTGTAGGTTCTTCATGAACACAAGAAAGTGTTTTGGGATGCCCATTATTTCCAATATTATCCATAGCTTGTTATGATCCACACAGTCAAATGCCTCTGCATAGTCATTAAAGCACAAGTAAGCATCTTTCTGGAGTCCTGGTGTGGCACTGTGGGCTAATGCGCCAGACTGCAAAGTCATTTGAACTGCACGGTCGGTGGTTCAAGCTCACAAGTCACTCCTTGGAAACCCTATGCAGGGTCACTATGGGTCAGAATCGACTCGACAGCACTTAACAACAAGAAGCATCTTTCTGGTAGTCTCTTTTCAGCCGAGATCCAATGATATACATGGTTTCAGCGGAGCTTCCATGACAGACTAGGAAGGAGAGTCAGACTGTTTCTAAATGTTTAGCTGCATTATGAATAGCAGCACAGCATTATCAGATATAGTGCCAAAAGATGAAAACATTATAAATAGCACTAGATTATTGTCAGATATTGTGCTGGAAGATGAGCCCCTCAGGTTGGAAGACACTCAAAATATGACTGGGGAAGAGCTGCCTCTTCAAAGTAGAGTTGACCATGATGACATGAATGGAGTAAAGCTTTGGGGACCTTCATTCACTGATGGGGCATAACTCAAAATGAGTAGAAATAGCTGTAAATAACTATTAATAGTCAGAACATGGAATGTATAAAGTATGAATCTAGGAAAATTGGTAGTTGTAAAAAATGAAATGGAACACATATCCTAGGCATTAGTGAGCTGAAATAGACTATTACTGGCCATTTTGAATCAATCATATGGTTTACTATTCAGGGAATAACAAATTAAAGAGGAATGGCATCACATTCATAGTCAGGTAGAACATTGCACATCTATCTTGAAGTACAAGGCTGTCTGTGATAGGATAATGCCTACAAGGAGTCCTGGTGTGGCACTATGGGTTAATATGCTGGACTACAAGATCAGTTTGAACTGCAAGGTCAGTGGTTCAAGCTCACCAGCTGCTCCTCGAAAACCCTATACAGGATCACTATGAGTTGAACTGACTCCACAGTACTTAACAACAATAAGGAAAACCAGTTAATACCACTATTATTCAAATTTATGTACCAACCACTAAAGCCAGTGATGATGAAATTGAAGAATTTTACCGGTTTCTTCAGTCTGAAATTGATCAAATATGCAATGAAGATATATTGATAATTCCTGGTAATTGGAATGCAAAAGGGAAGGACCAATAGTTGGAAAACATAGCCTTGGTGATAGAATTGATGCTGGAGATCATATAACAGAATTTTGCAAGACCAGTGTTGTATTCATTGCAAATAACTTTTTCAACAACTTAAAAGATGACTATGCACATGGGCCTTTCCATATGGAATACACAGGAATCACGTTGACTACATCTGTGAGAAGAGATGGTGGAAAAGCTCAATATCATCAACCAAAACTAGGCCAGGGGCCAACTGTAGAACAATCAATCAATTGTGCATATGCAAGTTCAGGTTGAAGCAGAAGAACATTTCTAAAGTAGACTGTGTAAACATTTTGATATGGGGGTTTTGTGATAGATTGTAGCTGGAACCAATGATCGAGTCCTGGTGTGGTGTTGGATGATAAGCACTGGATTGCTAACTGAAAGGTTGACAATTCAACCCACCAGACACTGAGTTAGAACCAACTAAAAGACACTTAACAATAACAACTGGTCCATTCTAGTTGACATCCTTGAAATGTAAAAGCCAACCATTTGGTTAAGAGCAAGTGAAGGTTGAATCAACTCTAATCTGAAGCCTTTGAAATTTAAACATTGCACATCTGTTCTATTTCCTAACCACCTGTTGACGGAGTCATCTTCTCTGGGGCCAGCTATGTAAATATTTTAAACAAACACTAAGCATTTTTTTATCTAGGTTAGAAATCCTAACTCTTGTCTTATTTTTCTACAAGTAATACTATGAGACACTTAATTATGCTCATGAGAAATCTGTACCTGGACCAAGAAGCAGTTGTTCGAACAGAACATGGGAACACTGAAT